GGCCGATTTCGTGTGCAACCAAATGATCTTCGCTTTCAGTTAATCATCTATCTTCATGAAAAGTTCTTACAATATATACCGAGAATATTTTTGACGGTTTCAAAAGTTACGTTTTTACAAGTATCTTACCTAATCACATATATCAACTATTTCCAGGACCTAGTGGAGGTAGGAGGAAGAAAAAATCGATTATTGTAGTCGAGGTTTAACTGACGCTTAACTGACGTGTTCTATTTCATATCCTACTCATTTATTTTGGATCTGGCATAATTTTATTAATTTTTTTTGTTTTGTAGATTATGGACGTTCCGTTAGATCAAACATGGCTCGTCGAGCTAAATGGTAACGCTGTACTAACCTTGGAATTTAAAGTCCAAAGCAAAATGACAAAGTTGGCAATTAAAATGCCACGGACCCAGAGCTACGCGACATTTGGAGGTGAGAATTTATCTGATTTCATAAAATAACGAGGATTTGCTACCAAAAGAGACTGATAGTATACGATATTGTATATAATTAAATTAAAATAAGCAGCGACGATACAAAACGGCTACGTTTCTCCCCCAAAAGCTATCGTAAAAACTAAACGATACAGAATGTCGCAGAAGACAGTTTTCTTTATCGTGATTAAAGGTTGCAAAGCGGAAAGAATGAATAATGTATAAATTGCATTGTTGACATACAATTAAATACTTAAATTTATAATATACCAACATTCGTGATGGTAGAAGATTACAAAATAGTCTTTCCCCACAACTCGTCGCGAGAAATAAATTAGTTCCGAGGTTGTGTAATTTCTCAAGTAGCAAATAAGCCAATAAAACTGAGCATAAAAATGAGATCCTCTAACAAAATATTTTTATCGCTATTCTAGGAGGCAGTCAGGAAGATTGTTCGCGTGAAATGAATAGCAATCCCCATGGACTTCATCTAACAAGCGTTCTGGAAGAAAATCCGTTTGTTCGCACAGAACTAAACGAGTTTGTTGAACTTGATCAAACTAGGAACATGTCGTGTTTCCTCAGCACAATATTCTACACTGATAAACGAAGTAATGGTTCCAACTATCGCGAGACAAGTGATGGCGTCATCATGACATTTCGTGGTCATCTTAAATTTGGCACTTTGCGATTTGACAACCTGGATGTAAAGTTGTGGATGGAAAATATACGATGCCCAAACACAGCCATTAGGCGACGATCTGGGATTGTTGCTAAATTAAGTGGATATTACGGAAGAAAGAAGAATAAAGGGAGAAAACTTGGAATCTTTGAAATCCCTTCTGACTCAGTAATAAACCTACACATTGGACAGAATTTGAAAGCTGCTTCCAGGGGATTCTTTCCAGGTATGGTCAACGTTTTTGGTTTTCAAAGTAAAGTAAACGTCACTATCTCGCACAATGGCTTAGAATTTTATGTTAAGGGTAAAATACATGGATTATTCGATGCTTCTGCCATATTTAAGTCAGGTTTGATATCCTGGAAAAAACAGCGATATACTGCAACCGGAGGTTTTGAGAGTAAAGCAGCTGCTGATAACCTCTATCGTGTTTTGGAGAATGAGTTTACAAAATATAGCACTGAATTTCTCAAAAAAATTCATGCCAGACTTGAACGTTCCACGCAAACAGAAGAACGAGCAAAATCACGACTAAGAGAAGTTCAGATCCTTCGAGACGAATGGTTGAAAAACGTGAAAGAAATGATTGGCGAATATGAAAAAGTAGAAGACCAGTTGGGTTTAGCGGAAAAAAATTTGGAAAGACTTCTTGACTTGGTTCGACACTATTCCAACAAAATTCGAGTGTTAAATCAAGAATTAGACAAGCTTTGCAAAGTTGTGTGTCGTAAAATCTGTCAACGAGGAAAAAATTGTACCACTTGTTTGGAAGATGTTATTGTAAAGGAGATGGGAAAGTGTTCGGCAACATGTCATCAGGCCAAACAGGAACGCATACCTCCGTTGATAATTGATGCAACTTGCAAAAACGAGCATTGCAAAAGGATTCATGCCGTCCATAGCTGGTTGGGAGATTATTTAGGCCTTGTAGTCGGTGTAGGTGGTATGTTTTTAGAACTGCCCCCACAAGTTTCATTTGGTATCGGCAAGAGTGTTTCCCAATTTACCCGCAGCATAAAGAAAGGTGATCTGGACTATGGCACACTTCTTGATGGTGTCACTCAAGCATTACCTGTTGTAGGGGCATCTAAACCTGTTGCTGGTCTTGTCCAGGCGGTCGCCAGCGTTGCAAAAGGAAATCGTAACCCATTATCAATTGTAAAAAGTGTCGTGGGCCAAGCAGTGCCTGTTATTGATGGTGTTTTATCACTGGTAGACAGAAGCCAAGGTCGCTGGAAATGTAAAGTTAAAGAAGAAAAGTGCACAAAGGAAAGTTTCGAGTACAATTACATTCATGACCCATACAAATGCGAGCTGCCTTGTGAAAAACGATCCGTTGCCGACACCATACCAAAGAAATGTTGCTCTATTGTTTCGTGTGCCTCTTTTATCGTCAACGCCAGTTGCATTTCTGAAAAGACGATTTGTAAAAAAGCAAGGAAGGATGCCTTAAAGAAAATTTCAAAATTTAACGCTGCAATTGTTCTTCTGAATTTAGACAGCGCACAACAAAACGTATCGGTCTGGAAAATGAAGCGCGAGAGAATGTCCGTTAAAGTTCGTTCAGCGTCAAATTCTTTGAAGGCATACCAGGATGCTGTGGACAGTCTTGAGAAAGCTTACAAGGTCACAGTGGAAAATCGAAAAAGAAAATTGGAAATTTTGGCAAAGCCGATGATGTTAAAAAATCTGTTGAACAAACTTGGTGGATCACTCATTAAGATAGAAAATATAAAATTTAAAGGAAAAGTTTCGGCAGAACATAACACTACTTTGCTTCTTGTAAGAATTACAGTGACCTTGAACGGAACACAATATGAAGAAATATCGACCGTGCTGGATTTCACAAATTTAAACAGATCTTTGCGAAGTATTGCGAAAGAGATTTTAGGTGTGTATGTGGGCGATGCTTCTCGGTTCTCGAGGAAAAAGCGTTCTACAAAGAACACAAATGCTTCAACTGATGAATTAAAATTCTACACATTGCAAACATTCCATCGATTATGTTCAGAGTTTAGTAACCACAAACGAATTTTGTACGACGTCGCTATGTCTCTTTACAACTTTTCTTCTGAGATTCAACAGCTTCGTGAATACGAAAAACGACGAGAAACATTTTTAATTGTTAACAACAGCGCCATTTTCGAGAAGGTAAATTTCAACCAAAGAAAGGCGATTGAATTTGGTGTCGAAATAAACTATGATTCGTACTCGGATGTACTTGAAAACGACCCAGAACTATTGGAAGCAAAAGCTTTCCAAAAGGAAGTTCTCAAAAACGAAGTCGAAGCTGTCCACTTAAGCTCGAAGTTGTTCTACAAAAATTGGCTAGCAACCATGGAAAGTATATTTGGAACAATCTCTGAAGAGTGTAGTGGTTTTGACGATTGTCTAAAGTACACCATTGACAGTTTGTCGGAAATTAGCTTCGACACAGGTATACTAAATGCAGAGAAATTGCGAGCACAAATAGATGACATCAAAATAAAGTTTTTCAATTTGACAAGAAAATCAGATATGTCAGTAAAGGATGCAATGAAAATTTCGTGGAACATATTACAGATGTTGGAGGACATGACCGATGAAGAAAACGTTTGTGCGCAAGCCCCATCTATTGCGGAATATCGTGCACCATTGACTGAGCTTGGTGTAAATGAGACGCTTGTCTTAAGGTGCAATGCCACAGGAGACTCCCTTGTCTACCAATGGAGATTCAACGGTAAAATTTTAAAACACGAATCTACGAATGTCTTACGTATAAACCATTCTGGTAACTACTCTTGTGACGTATGGAATCACGTGGCCAAGGCATCTTCAATCATTGCAGTGGTTGTTGTTGGCACTCCTCCAGTGATTGTTCGGCATCCTGACCGTCGTCACAATGTTGTCTTATCCGGATATGACTCCCTCCTTTGCCAAGTGAAGAAAGATGAGCGAAATATATCCTATCAATGGTGGTTCAAGCCAATGAAATTCAATTCTTTCAAGGCATTACCAAATGAAACGTTTTCTCGTCTTAGTTTTTCTCCAGTGAGAACCTACCACGAAGGATGGTACTTTTGCAACGTATCCAATCGATTTGGCCACACCAGTTCGAAGACGAGCTATGTCAAAGTGTTGAATTTCAGTCTTCCATTACCAGTCGCCAAACTATCATTGACCGTCATATCGAAGTTACGTAGCAGTAATATCTCGGTGTTCTATCAGGAAACTCTAGCGAAGGTCTTGGCATTTCGTTTTTCAACAACTAATAACAGCTCTCGGCCGTCAGAAGAACGGATCAAAGAATTACATCCAACTGGATGCAGAATTATTACGCTACATAACGGCACATCTAGCCGCACAGAAATCTGCGATTGGACATTCAGTGCCGTTGGTGAGAACGTAACGTCAAACGCAGTCTTAAATAGTTCGCCATCACATCAGATAAAGAGAATGATCGAGGCAACTTTGAAGCTGAAAAGCTTAATTAGCCAATTAGGGAACGAAACCAATGCAGATGGGATTACTTTCACATTGGGCAAAACCAATTATTCTGTGGAGGAAAATTCTTTGAATATTATGGCGATGTCGCTGCTTTGCCCAAAGCGTCAATTCTTGGTTGAAAATGTCGACTATAAATGTGGTAAGTCATTTGCACGTTTTAGACGTGAACAACTGAGGTTTGAAACAATTTTGCACATTATCAACTTTTTAAATTCTAATTTATTTTTAACTCTTTAAAAACAAATAATTGATTAATAATAACCAAGACTTTTGAAACTTGTACACAGACTATATTTATTTTATTTAACTGCAAATATAAAACATTTTCCGTGTTGTTTGTGTGATGTTACTCTGAGTGTATATCCACACCGGGCAGGCTTGAAAAATATGCCTGGCAACGGCGGGATTCGAACCTACGACCTTTGGAATACTAGCCCAATGCTCTTCCAACTGAGCTACGCGGTCAGGACGGTTCGAGTATGCGATATTTCGGAACTGAGTCTAGTTCCTTCGATATCAGTGTAATCTAATAATCATGACTAATAATCTGACCGCGTAGCTCAGTTGGAAGAGCATTGGGCTAATATTCCAAAGGTCGTAGGTTCGAATCCCGCCATGGCCAGGCATATTTTTCAAGCCTGCCCGGTGTGGATATACACTCAGAGTAACATCACACAATTACTTTACACCAACACAGCAATTTTCCGTGTTGATATACAGTTATATCAACACGATTGGAAATTGGGAAAACGAGAAATGTGTGGAAACACGACGCCCGAAGGACGGAGTGTTTTCACACTATTTCGAGTTTTCCCAATTTCCACGAGTGTTGATATAACTATACTGTATATCAATACGAAAATTTATATTTGTTTTATAATGTAGCACAAAGAAATATAAAGAAAGAAATTTTCCGACGTTTCCGTGTTGACACTGAGTTATATCAACACGGCTCTTAGCCAATCAACGTTCAGAATTTACAAATTAACAAATGCCATATTATAATTATCTATCTTACACGGAATCAATTTTGTAACCTTCACTTAATTTAGCTTATTGCTATCAAATGCTATACTGTCACATTCGGCAAATATGTAATCGCAGTTTCATGCTGTCAACTGTGAAGCTGAAATTTTTACATTGTTACTGCTGCTTATCTTCCAGTTGATTGTCCACCTGGATCTTATGGGACACTGAAGAATGGCGTGGCGACGTGCAATATTTGTCCTCGTGACTTTTACCAGTCAAATCCCGGTCAAATATATTGCATCAAGTGTCCTAAAGGATTTATAACCACCGGGCAAGGCGCCTACGATCACAAGCAATGTAAAGGTAAATGAAAATGCTAAATTTGCAGTCAATGAAAAAGTAGTTATTATTCACATAAAAATAGTGAATTCTGGTTGGTTGAGAGGAGTTTTATTAATGGTTTTAGTACATTTCTCCAGTTAGGGACCGGTCATTATTTATAATGTTTTTCTTGGTAAGAATTTTGCCGATCCAACCCTTACAGGTAAACTACGTGAAGCGTTCCTCTTTTGAGTTTCTAAATTGATTGCAATTTTCCTCATTACTTTTGCAATTTAAAAAACTCCTTTGCAAATCCCTTGAGGAAATTTGCAATGTTGCTAAAACCCAATTAAATTTTCCTTATTTCCTGTTAGAAGTTCCTAACTTCCTGTTGCAAGTTCCTAACTTCCTGTTCTGTTCTGCGCGTTGCAATTGGCTAACAAAAATAATCGACCAATAACAACGTTCAGAACAGAACAGAAAGTTAGGAAAATTTAAAATGAACTTTGTTTGCATTGGAATATTGCAACAGCCGATAGGAACATTGCAAATTCCCTCAAGGGATTTGCAAAGAGTTTTTCAAATTTACAAACCTAATGAGGAAAATTCCAAATGAGTTACGAAGTCAAAAGAGGAACGCTTCACGTAGTTTACCTATAAATGTGAATTTTGTTTCCCAACCTCAAATATCAATCAAAATATGAATACCCACTACCGGCAAAAAAACTTTACCAACGGATACCATATTACCGTTCAATTGTCACACGTGACCTTTAGTCCCTTCACCACTTCTGTGACATGTAGCTTGTCTGCACTTGTACTTTCTTTGGTAGCTACCATTTGCCTCCTGACAAATCGGAAAATGATCAAGATATATAGTGATTCTGATTGATTTACATATTGTGTTGACATATAACTGTTGACACTTTATTCTTTAATATTTGAGTGGGTCAAGCTTTTGAAAAGACAAGAAAATGTTATTAACCAAGTCCTTGAGTTGTTTTGGTTTTCATTAACCCAATCTTTTACTCACTCAAAATTTTGTTTACCCAACCCTTTTCTCTTCGGTGCAACATCCAGACATAAATAATCAACAGCCCTTAATCAATGCCGAAGGAACAAAAGTATTTACAAATTGAAACTGAGTAAAATTCGTAATTTTTCATGTGTAATTTTGGCACTGCTGTTCTCTTTATTTGATAAAATTCTCCTACTGTTTTTAACCTTTATTATATATACTCGCTATCACATGATTATTTATATACCAATTTACTGTCACCTATATAGTTTCAGAATCGACTTTTTCATTATTCGCGCTATCAACAACAGGGTCATCAGATTTGACACATAATATTTCCGTAAAAATCAGTTCTCCAAATTTAATTAACCTGTCGAAAAAGTAATATAAAATAAGAGAAAGAATGAAATTATAATTTATAATAAAAATTTTGCGTGACTCCTAACACCCAAGTTGCATATTGGAGTATTATTGAGATTATTAAAAAAAATATTCGTCAAAATTATTTTAATATCTACAGACTTGTTGTGTTCTCCGTTAGTTCATGTTTTAATTTTATTTAAAGATCTCAAGACATAGTTTGCTTTTCGCACATTCTAGACGAAAATAAATTCTTTGCTGTGTTTGTTTTGGTGAATAATTATCATGGTGATGTACTAGTCACGACAAACGTTTCTGGCCAGTTGGAAATCGACCATCTGAAACCGACAAAAAAAGTGGTCAAAAGTAAAAAATGGAAGACCAAAAAATGGTTGAGTGTAAGTGCAGTCGATGCTACCACCAACCGAACGGTTGACATCAATGAACACTCGGTCATTCATCTGGAACCAACGATTAAGAATCTTATTTGGCTGAATGTTCTTTATATCCAAGGTAAGTAATACTTACTTGCTTAATCAACATGCTTGGATAGCTATCCGTCATTCGCGCAACCGAGCTCTGTGCAGTATAATTTATTTTTCCTATTTCTTTCCTAGCACCAAAACTGGTGGATCCAAATATGAAAACAGCTTCAACACTTACAACTCCCCAAACCAGTACTTTTACAACTCCACCGCGCAAATTTTTCTTGCAGAGAAAGTTGTTTCAACAGAAACTGTTCCTGATCGACCTTTGGGAACCGAAATTGCGGAAGATTTTAAGGAATTCTTCAACGTAACTGAAGGAAATGGACAACACGATTGATTCGGACAGTCATATATATTATAGTTCCTTTATCCATATATACATCTTATTACATAATTTGATTTGATTCTATTTTGATTCAACTTGATTGATTTGCATGGGCGTACCGGAAGGAAAAAATTAGGGGGGCGGAAAGAAATTTGCCCGACTTTTTCGGATTGTGCCCGACCTGTGCCGAAAATTTTTTTTCCGGAACAATTAATTTTGGCGACCTCCCGCCCTCCCCCCGTCGTCAAAAAAATTTCGGTCAGTATACCATTTTAGGGGTCTCCAATTTTTTCGGACATACCAAAATTTTTCGGAACATCAAACAAATTTTCCAAACATCACAAAATTGACATAATTTCCCGAAAAATTGACAGAATTTGTCCCATTTATATTTATAATAACCCAATTTGCCCGACTGTGAAGCGAATATTGCCCAACTGGCTTTGTTTGCCCAACAAACTGGGGTTATTATTAAGAGAGATTTTATTGCTTTGACTGTACTACTTTTTTGGCTTTTTAATTTCCCACTCTTCGCCCGACTTATGTTGAACATTTGCCCGACTTTTCGACTTTGTAATCTTTTTTTTT